ACGATATAAACAAAAAGAAGGAAAAAAGCACATGATTATCTCCATAGATGCTGAAAAAGCATTTGACAAAATTCAACATCCATTCATGATAAAAACTCTCAGCAAAATGGGAATAGAGGGCAAGTACCTCAACATAATAAAGGCCATATATGATAAACCCACAGCCAACAGCATACTGAACAGCGAGAAGCTGAAAGCTTTTCCTCTGAGATCGGGTACAAGACAGGGATGGCCACTCTCCCCACTGTGATTCAACATAGTACTGGAGGTCCTTGCAACAGCAATTAGACAGAACAAAGAAATACAAGGAATCCAGATTGTTAAAGAAGAAGTTAAACTGTCACTATTTGCAGATGACATGATACTGTACATAAAAAAACCCTAAAGACTCCACTCCAAAACTACTGGAACTAATATAGGAATTCAGAAAAGTTGCAGGATGCAAAATTAACACACAGAAATCTGTGGCTTTTCTGTACACTAACAATGAACCAACAGAAAGAGAAATCAGGAAAACAACTCCATTCACAATTGCATCAAAAAGAATAAAATACCTAGGAATAAACCTAACCAAGGAACTGAAAAACCTATACTCTGAAAACTATAAGACACTCTTAAGAGAAATTAAAGAGGACGCTAACAAATGGAAATTCATCCCATGCTCTTGGCTTGGAAGAAATAATATTGTCAAAATGGCCATCCTGCCCAATGCAATATACAGATTTGATACAATCCCTATCAAATTACCAACATCATTCTTCAAGAAACTGGAAAAAATCGTTCAAAAATTCATATGGAAACACCAAAGACCCCTAATAGCCAAAGCAATCCTGAGAAGGAAGAATAAACTGGGGGGGATTTCACTCCCCAACTTCAAGCTCTACTACAAAGCCTCAGTAATCAAGACAATTTGGCACTGGCACAAGAACAGAGCCACAGACCAGTGGAACAGAACAGAGACTCCAGATATTAACCCAAACATATATGGTCAATTAACATATGATAAAGGAGCCATGGACATACAATGGGGAAATGACAGTCTCTCCAACAGATGGTGCTGGCAAAACTGGACAGCTACATGTAAGAGAATGAAACTGGATCACTGTCTAACGTCATACACAAAAGTAAATTCAAAATGGATCAAATACCTGAATGTAAGTCATGAAACCATAAAACTCTTAGAAAAAAACATAGGCAAAAATCTCATGGACTTTTTCATGAACATATCTCCCCGAGGCAAGGAAAACAAAGGCAAAAATGAACAAGTGGGACTATATCAAGCTAAAAAGCTTCTGTACAGCAAAGGACACCATCAATAGAACAAAAAGGTATCCTACAGTATGGGAGAATATATTCATAAATGACAGATCCGATAAAGGATTGACATCCAAAATAAAGAAAGAGCGCACACACCTTAACAAACAAAAAGCAAATAATCCAATTAAAAAATGGGCAGAGGAGCTGAATAGACAGTTCTCTAAAGAAGAAATTCAGATGGCCAACAGACACATGAAAAGATGCTCCACATCGCTAATCACCAGAGAAATGCAAATTAAAACCACAATGAGATACCACCTCACACCAGTAAGGATCGCCATCATCAAAAAGACAAACAACAACAAATGTTGGCGAGGTTGTGGAGAAAGGGGAACCCTCCTACACTGCTGGTGGGAATGTAAATTAGTTCAACCATGTGGAAAGCAGTATGGAGGTTCCTCAGAATGCTCAAAATAGAAATACCATTTGACCCAGGAATTCCACTTTAGGAATTTACCCTAAGAATGCAGCACTCCAGTTTGAAAAAGACAGATGCACCCCTATGTTTGTTGCTGCACTATTTAAAATAGCCAAGATATGGAAGCAACCTAAATGTCCATCAGTAGATGAATGGATGAAGAAGATGTGGTACATATACAGAATAGAATATTACTCAGCCATAAGAAAATAAATAGATCCTAGCTTCCACAACAATATGGATGGAGCTAGAGGGTATTATGCTCAGTGAAATTGGCCAGGCGGAGAAAGACAAGTACCAAATGATTTCACTCATATGTGGAGTAAGAACAATGGAAAACTGAAGGGACAAAACAGCAGCAGAATCACAGAACCCAAGAATGGACTAACAGTTACTAAAGGGAAAGAGACTGGGAAGGATGGGTGGGAAGGGAGAGACAAGGGAAGAAGAAAGAGGGCATTACAGTTAGCATGTATAGTGTGGAGGGGGCACAGGGAGGGCTGTGCATCACAGAGAAGACAAGTAGTGATTCTACAGCATCTTACTATGCTGATGGACAGTGACTGTGAAGGGGTATGTGGGGAGGACCTGGTGAATGGGGGAGCCTAGTAAACATAATGTTCTTCAGGTAATTGTAGATTAATGATATCAAAAAAAAGATACTCCACTGCCTTATATCAGGGTGGGACTCCTCCTAGCTGTCAGGCCCCTTTCCCACCCACGTGTCCAGGTCTCAGCCCCACCACGCCCATCAAGGGTTTGCATTTTCCTGTGCCTGCCACACCTCTGAGCCTTTGCTTTTGCTGTTTCCTCCACCTGCCTTGCTGCTTCCTTAGTTCCCAAAGACAAACCTCCCTTCATCCTTTGAGGCTCTGCCCAAAAGCTCCTCCTTTGTGGCTTGTTAGGCCCTTGGGTGCCCCTACTCTAATCTCAGAGCCCCGCGAGTGATTCCCTGAGTTTATGTGTGCTCACCAATAGGCCAGGAGGCCTGAGACAGGTCTGGCGTGGGAAGAAAGGAGAAAAGCTTTTGTGGTTGGGCACCTACTGTGGCCACTTGCCTTCCGTGTCTCATGAGATATGATCTGCATGCCACTCTGTGCAGTAGGTACGTTTTAAAGGAGTCAGAGTAACACTTCAGGGTTAGCTGTCCCTGGGTCCAGACCCTGCTCTGCACTTCCTGTGTGACATTGAGCTGAACATCTATGAGCCTCAGTTTCCCTGTCTTTGAGAAGGCAGGATGCTAACCATGGGTTTTGGGGAAGCACTGTCAATGAGAGAAAGCTTATAAGCACTTACCATGTTCACAAGTTTCTATGTGCAGTAGTAGGTATTGTTTACAGGTGGGGAAACTGAGGCTCAGAATGGGGAAGTGCCCTCTTCAGGCCCCCACATGAGTCAGTGGCCAAAGGGAGAGACCAAGTCTTGGCTCCTGGCCTCCAACTCTACCCTGTGTTCTTCCTTCACTCCCTTAGTCCCCTGGGCCTCTTCTCTTCCCCAGATCAGGGGAAGCTTTGTTTGGGAATTGTTTTTCCTACAAAGTTTCCTCTGTGGTGCCAGTGGATGACTCAGCCCTGAGTCACCAGGAGGCTGAGGGCCAGGAAGGAGGAGGGAAAGGAGAAAAGGGGCAAGGAAGGGGGCCCTAGTTCCAACCCTGGCTTTCCTGCTGCTTGATTGACTAGGTCTGACTGGTGCCCCATCCTGCCTGGGCTCAGTTTTCCCAAGAATGAAAGGTGATGTTGGGCTTTGATGAGTGGCTCCAGGCTAGGCCAAGCCTCAGAATCCCAGGTTCCTGGGCCCCACCCCAGTCCACAGGCTCAGAGGCAGGCATGGGGCCTGGGAATCTGCCTTTCCTGGAGCTCCCCAGATGCTTCTGCTGCAAACCTGGTCTGCAGAGGTGTTCGGGAGCCCATGGCTCGAGGCTCCTCCTGGCTGGGCCTGAGAGCTCAGCCTCTGCTTACTCATCTCCACAAACTCAGAGAGAGCTGCTTTTCCTGCTGAATGCTTTGGCACAATGGTGCATAGGAAGTGAGTCAGTTTGTGTTTTTTGTATTTTTTTTCCTTAAAAAACAGCTTTATTGAAGTATAATTTAGAGAATTGGGAGTAAATTTACATACATATAATAATCTATTTTAATTAATTCAGTGTTTTTTGGTAAATTTACAGTTATGTCACCAACACTGCAATCGAGTTTGAGAACATTTTCCTCATCCCTAATCACCCCTAAAAGATGCCTGCCCCAGCCTGCCGGCTATCTCCTCACCCACACCTCACCCAACACTAATCTACTTTCTGTCTCTTTGAATGCCCAGACCTGTGCATACCTCCCAGCTTCACCCCTTCTGGCCGTGTGGCCTCTTGCAGATTATTGTCCCTCTCTGAGCCTTGGATTTCTCTTCTGTAGGAAAGGGGATCATCATATCCTCCCTGAAACTTGTTGTTTGAATTGCACTAATGTGATAGAGTGTCTGATGCATAGTAGGAGCCAGAGATGTGGGAGCCTGGTTGCAGTACACAGGATGTAGTACAGGTAACCTGGGCACAAGTTGTAACAATACTAGCATACATTTTATGGACTCTGTGCCAGGCACTGGACTGAGTGCCTTAAGTACATTATCTCTTTTAATCCCCTCAACAACTCTTGTTAGGTCAGTGTTAATATCATTTCCATTTTGTAGCCAAAAATGGAGGCACTGAGAAGAGATAACTTCCCAGGTCACATACGTGATAACATGGGTAGGTGGAGCGTCTGTCCCAGAGGCTATCCTAACCGGTACACTCCAGATGGGACTCACGGAGCAAGGGACACCATTAATGGACCCAGGACAAGGTTTATGGCACGAACTTGCAAAGGACAAGATCTGGTACAGTGGACATGGGATTCAAAAGATGGTATGTGGCACAGAGTATCCAGGTGTGGCATGTGACATGAAGCATGATCCAAATGTACGTGATGTGGGCTGCAGTACAGGAACATGCATCAGGTGACACACATAGGACAAGGTGTGAGGAACACAGGGCCTGGTATGGGTGCAGAGAGCACAGCATGTGTGACACTGAGGCAAGGTAACCAAGTTACAAGGCTTGAGGCACAGCAGTGGAACAGCCTCCTGGGCCACAAGGGGCCCCAGCTCCCAGCAGCAGGAGCCAGTTTTCTCCTCTCACAAAGGCCTGTCTGTTTTTTGCCTCCTCCTTTCTGTCTCTTCAGATGCCAAAGAGTGGGAGTGTCCGAGAGGAGTGGGGCCCAGGGTACCACCCACCACCCACCCAAGGCTTGGGGCCAAGTCCATGGCTCAGGAGGAGCCTGCAGGCCCCCAGATCCCCTGTTATTCACCAACCCAAGAAAGTTAAATGAGGCAAAGTTTATGCATTCTTTTCCATTCACCACAATTTTGTGGCTTGGCGGGCTGGGGAAGAGAGAAGAGAGTGGTAAACCTGAGTGGACATCTGGATCACAGGGCACGTGCTGCCACACTCGCATACAGGAATACAAGGGCTATCATTCTACCCTATGTGCATATTGGGCTCATAGCTCTTTTTTAACTTTTATGAAGTAAAATTAGAAAATGGTGTATTAAAAATCAGGTATTCAGTCATTAATTCTATTCTAAAGGCTACCTTGTTCTACTTAAGTTCAAAAAAGAAAAGGTTAGAACTCCAAGATGGATAAATAGAAAATCTTTCTGTTGACTCTAAAACTCACTTAGGAAAGAAGCAGCTAAATAAAGTACCTCAGAAAAAGCTCTATAAGACAAATGGGGGAAATATGAAAAGATCAAGATCAAGGCAAGATTAGGCAGAGCAAGTTACGATCCTATTACAGTTAGGAAGTTTCAACATACGTAACCCGGGACACCTATAGGAAGAAACTAAAAGAACAGGTGGGATATGTTTCCAAGTTCTAAAGTTAATGCTGGAATACTGTTTAAGCGGACTTCTCCACCTACCACATCCCAACCCCAAAGGTAAAAAAGGAAAGGAAACAGGGTGACCATCTGGATCTCAGTTTGGCTGCAACAGGGGATGGGCTCTTGAGGAGATGGCCCATCAGGTCCCCTGCTGACGGCACTCCAGCTCTAGGCCATGCTTCATAATGCAGAGTCCAACTACGGCTGTGAGCCATTAAAGGGTTGTAAGACCAATTTAATCACAACCAAACTATTTCAAGTGAAGGAAACCACAGGAAGAAGATGGAAAGCAAAATGTCAGAATACACCTCACAGGGCGAGCAGATGGGTTGCAGATGTCCACACGCCTCGGGCTGTGTACTGGGCTGCCCTGTAAAATGCACTGCAGTCAGAGAAAGCTGAGACACACTGCTCTTGGCACGTTTTAACCTCAGTATGGTTTTCTATGAGAAAGACAGCAAAAGATGCTGAGAAATCAGGAAGGAAAAGGATGCTCGAGAAACAGATGAACTCACATAAAAGGCCAAGAAGACCTGGTGACAAGAACATGGGTTGTAGAGTCAGCCAAGTAGAGTAAGCCAAACAAACTCCACTGGCATTACGGCTCCAATAGCTTCAGAAGCTCAGGATGTTACTTGGCTTCTGGGAGTCTCAGTTTCTTCATCTACAAATCGAGGAGAAGCTAACTTTTAGGCTAATTACTATAAAAGTGCCTGGCTTGGAAGAGATGCTAAGTATTTTCTTCCTCCTTCCCTACAGCTTCACAGGCTCCTCCTCTGTAAAACCACCCACTGTGACTCCGAAACCATGGCGTCACTGAGCTCCCAGTCCTGGGGCCGCCCTTGGTCTCCGCAGCGCTCTCTGGTGTCCCTGGTTGGCACCCACAGAGACAGACAGCACAGGTGCATGCTGACAAGTGCCTACCAAAGCCTGCTGCTGGGGAAGTCAGGGCCATTCAACAAAGACTGTAAGTCACGGAGAAACTGAGTTGTCAGAGTAAGTACACCCAAAGCCCTGCCCACAGTCGGTGAGCTGGGAAGAGGAACACGATGCAGGAATGTCGCCATCTTGTTTCTGCTCAGCCCTGGCAGCAGGGGAGACGTTTCCAGTGAGAAATGGAAGATTCACACCTGTGCCCCATGCAGGCTTGCAGTGCTAAGTCATACTGAGTACCTGATGCAGGAATCCTGGAGCCTATGACCCTTCAGGGTCCCTCACAGAGGGAAATACACCAATCTAGAAAGACAGCTCCACAATTAAGGCCTCAAAGGACTTTAGGGAGGGAAAATAAAATCCTCACTAATCAAAAATCACAATGTCACTATTAGTGAGAGTCAGTAATTATACAAATGAACTTAGAAACAAGAAGGTCGGTGATTTACCAGAGAAACAAACAAATACTACAGAACCCCATTAACAACAGGTTTGGTACTGGTCTGAGAACAGACAGCTTAATCAATAAAAGAACCCAAAACTCAAGAGAACTGTGTATATATAAATACATGGTAAATGGTAGCAGGAGCCCCACAAACTACTAAGTTACACATATTTAATTTTCTGTGCAGAAAAATGAAGCTGAATAACCATGTACAAAGGTGAATTCCAGACATTAAAGTTATGCTGGAAAAGATAACAGAAGAAAATGCAAAAGAATATCTATGAGACCTTGGAGGAGGAAATGATTTCTAAGACAAGTCTCTAAACCCAAACCATGAGGCCAAAACAGATGAATCTGACCAAGTCAAAATTATGAACTTTGGTTCAATGAAGATGCCAAAGACAAAATTAATAGATGGATGATATTCTATTTCACTAAGATGTAATTGACTGTATTTTATTTACTACTAAGGAAGAGAAACAGTACTGATTAAAATGTAACAATGTTTTCTTGTCATCCAGAATTTTTAGTTTACATTTAATGAAAAGTTCTCCTAGGCATTCTTAGGAACAGATTTTTGTCACACTACTTGTGAACTTATGAAAAGGAGAATGTAGGCAAGATATGGCTCAGGACATTCCTACCCTCTCTACCTGAGTTCCAACCGTCTGCTCTCCTCTGCTGAGTCACAGTCACCATGGCGATCTGTGCAGATTCTCCTTCCCACTATCAGGAGTATCCCGCGCTCCCCTACCATCCCTGCAATTACCCAACAAGCAAGCGAGTGTCACCCATTCTCAAGTGCTGATATTGGAACTTTCTTACTGGACTCAATTCCCAGACTCATCTTTCCTCCAATCAAATCACATGTGTCTAGAAAGGAAGCTGTTACTAAAAGGCAGCACAAGTTTGACAATGAGATGTTCAAGCCTTCGTCACAGCGGCCGTTTAATCCTCCTGTAGGGGTCCGGCTGTTTCTCCTGCCTCTGCCTAGCTGACTTACCAGCAGTGCTCCTCACTCACCTGAAGCTGGCAGTGAGCGCAGCCACGACCACGTTCACAAGTACACAGGCAGTGAAAACCCCCCACTGGCTGACAATGACTGTCAGCAGCTCTAAGATTCATGTCAGAGATCTTACACAGGAAAAAAAGTGTCTTAGAATTAATGCAGGTGTACTACATCAAAAACTACCCAGGGTTAAAACCTACAGAGTATATAGGACTCTTGCTGATCAAGACAGGCTGGGAATCTGGTGGGAAAAATGAGGTAAAAGATAAAGAGGCATTCGATTCATTTTCGAAGGGGAAACTACAGCAGCTAATAAGGTGAAATGAGACTCAAATAATCAGAGAAATGCAAAGTAAAGCAATGCTACCCAAAAGGGCTGTGGGGAAACTGGAACCTCCATGAAGTTGGGGGGAACAGGTGGATACGGCTGTGTCACGATGTGGAAAAATCCCACTGGGAAATGAGACACTGTCAGCACCCCGCTCTTGGTTCTACACCCCCAGAGAGACTCAAACAGGTCCACAAGGGCTTATTAATCACCAGGTTTTCTGTGGCAGCAGGGAGTGAGGGCAGCTGAGGTATCCAGAGGAAAGGGGCTCGGTAAAATCTGGTGACCACACACAACAGAACACTGTGGAGCTCTCAGAAGAAATAATTCAGAAGTCCCTCCAGCAACCCACCTCTCTGCTCTGCTTTGACATTTCTTCAGACCACTTAATTCCAGCTAACACTGTATTTCATTGTTGGCCTAAGATTGTAATTTACTCCATGTGCTCAGCACATTCCTAGAACAGAGTACGCACTCTAATACATGTTCAAAAAATAAATGTTGAGTAAAAAACTTGTAAAAAATTAGAATGAAGTCTGGAGAACAAAATTAAAAGCATACATCCATAAAACATTAAGATCATGTAACTTCAAAAACTCAGTATAATAAAAATATCAATCATTTTAGTAACAGAAATAACGTAACACATCAAATCAAAACAGGAAGCTGTGACCATGGGTCTCCTCAGGGGAGGAGAACAGAGGCAGGCACTGGGGTGACTGAAATAAAGAATAAAACAAATGAGAGCACTGCCTTTCCTGGCTGCTGACCATGGTGGCTCTGAGGACAGGGCTGGGGCCTGGGCCTCGTGGGGAGGCCCGAGATGGAGAACGCAACATAGCACCTCAGCTCAACAGAAGCAAGCCTCTGGCAAATTGGAGTGAGAAAGGAAGAAACACAAACAAACAATGCCTGCAATGGAGACATGATCCCACAGATACGTCAATGCATCTGTAATAAAGTTACATGTGTATATATATTTTATATATGCATGGCCAGGACAATCCTAGAAATCAATTCATGCCAATACATTTGAAAATCTAAAAGGAAATGGACAACTGCTCAATGACAGTACACTAAACTTAGGAAAGAAACCTGAACAGCTTTAAAAACTCACTCTAGACAATGAAATTATCAAATTCATTAAAATCACAAACACAATGAATACATGCTAAGAAAATGATAAAACTAATGTATCTCTAATACTAAAACTGAACCAGCACAGTAAAAGAAAATAAAGAGACTAAACTTACTTTTCAACACAGACGTTAAAAATCACAAATATTAAGCAAAACAAATCCAGCAATGTAGAAAAATCAACCAAACACTCATGTTTAAAATAGGGTTTATTCTAGGAATATAAGGATTATTTAATAGAAAAACCTACCAGTGACTTCTGGAAAACAAGACAGAATGAAGGAAAAAAACCCATTTCAATCTCTGGTCCCTTACAATAGCACACAAAAATGCCTACAAGGTCTGACAGTCTAAACGCACAAAGACCACAGCATAGAAAGAGGTAACAGTTACATTATGCTGGAAACTGGAAAGCAGTTGTAACAAGTTGTGTTTCACAGTCAAAGAGATCAGAGTGAGAGAGATGAACACAGGCAGGCAGCCAGAGGCCAGCAGCAATTCCTGAAGAGTGCTCACACACTGGGGCAGAACTCCCTGTGAGTGCAGAGACAGGTGGGATGGGATACAGGAAGAGAGAATAGAAACCTCCGTAAGGGTACCCATTCCCGCAGCTCACCTCCCCACCTGGCATAATGATGGTAGTATAA